GGACAGGAACAGGGAACCTGTGGCTAGACCCACTGCTTCCACCAAGCCCCAGCCAGCATGGCCAATGGTCAGGGATGATGGGAACTCAAATCCTCGTTCCTGTGCCAGGAAGTTCAGCGTTACCTTCCTTATCCAGGCGTAGCTGCAGGCAAATGTCAACGACCGTTTAGGAAGGCAGAAGATTTTTAGAATGTCTGCTTTTATTTTGGGCAGTGTGCAACGGACACCATTACCAAGCCTAAGGAAATGCCTTCTGTTCAGAGAAGGTACTTTCCAGTGACTGGTGCTGATATTAAATTTCAATTTGATTTTCGGCCACCATTTTTATTTATTTATAAAAAATATGTATATAGTGCTGTATTATCCAATAGCATAAAACCATATTGCCATACAGTAAAATAATCAAATAATAAAAACAGGTTAAAAGCAAAAGAATGAAAAACCATGAGCCCTCTGTCCTATTTTAAAAATATTCTGGGGCATCCCTGGCTGAGAGAGACAAAGGATAGGGTGACAAAGGCATACGACGCCCAGCCCATCTGAGCAGGAAGAAAAACAAATTCTCTCTCAAAAGCAACTTTTGTCTGACATGCAAAGTAGGAAGTTGCAAATCAGGAATCCCTTTTCTCTTTCTTCCTTTGTTTGCTCACTTGGACATGTACAGTTGAGAAATTAAACATTGTCAAGACACCCCAGAAGGGCATTTCAAGAGGCTTGCAAGCAGATCCTGTGACTTGCAGCCCGTTTAAGGTGGAGCAACTTACAAACCCAGGGGGATCTACACACAACCTCGACAAACCTGTGTTCCCAAACCTGTGTTTGCTATACTTGTCTTTGATTAAAGGATTTGGAGGGGACATTGTGGGCTGTCTAGTCCAACCTGATGCTGGAAACCCAGAGCTAGAATGCCAACAAATGGCTGCAGAGCTTCTGCTTGAAGATCTCCCATGAGGGAGACAGCCCACCAGTAGCAGTCAGTGTGGTAGGACAGAACTACAGAGCTACTTCTGGCACTAGAATTCGGGCACATCTAATGAAGCTGAATGTTGGAAGCAATATGCTTCTGAAAATACCAGTTTCCGGAAACAGCAGAAGTGGAGAGTGCTTTGCGCTCAAGTCTTGCATGTGAGCTTCCCAGGCATCTGGTTGGCCACTATAAGAACAAAATGCTAGGTTAGATTGACCATTGGCTTGTTTCAGCAGGCTCTTCTTATTGCTGCATGTTTATGATCTTGTAATTTTATAATATTTTAATTATCTGCAAGGGGATTGTAACGGGACTATTGTGCAGGGTTAACATATGTAATATTGTGTTCTGTGGCAATTGATGATGGTTGGACAGTGTTTTTGAAGCTACCAGAATGAGTTTGACCAAACTGTGGGAGGCAGTGGAAGACAGAAGTGCCTGGCATGCTCTGGTCCATGGGGTCACGAAGAGTCGGACACGACTAAACAACAACATGGCAATTGATCTGCCTTGGTCATGCATTAACAACAGCCACGGAGCTTACGGTACTTTTTACAAGTGGATATCCAGCACAATAAAGCAGTGAGTGTTGGACCAGAGTGGCCTGTGTTCAAATCCCCAATTCAACTGTGAAGCTTGCTGTATTCCCTTGGTGCAGCCACTATAATGAATGTATTTGATTGTTGTTAGCCACCCTGAGCCCAGCTTCGGCTGGGGAGGGCGGGATATAAATAAAATTTATTATTTATTATTATTATTATTTCTGTCACCTACACTGTTGACCTGTGGCCATACACAGACTCTGAGCTCCTTCAAGGACCCTAATGGGGTGTTATAATATAAAGGCAGAGCTGAGGAAGAATCAGGTCTACATACAGTATTCCCTGTTTTGCACGTTGTTTTACAGTAATCATTCAGTGCTTGGAACTAGTTGCTTTGGTAAAACCCTGAATTTGTTGAATAGAGCTCATATACACTATCAGCATTATTATTAAATCATGACCCTCCTCTTGCGTGGAAACTATTTTACAAGACTTTTCCCACGCTTGATTCTTTCAGCTTATAGTGTACAGGAGTGGGGTGGGAGAATGGCACAGTATTGTAGCATCCCTTGGTTTGGAAAGCACATGACTCACTTCCTAAAGCTGTTGTGTGTGTGTCCCCCGACAGGCAACCACTGTTTAAGAGAACTGCTCTAAGTTTTGATCTTATTTAGCATGTGTGCTTTGGTCACAAAAATAGTTTTCTGTGGTTAATATAAGGAGAACTTAAGGAGAACTGGGACTAGTGTTTTTACATAGAAAAAAGCAAGCTTGTAATCTCCACAGTCACATTTCTAATGTGGCTGAATACGTTTAAGAATCTTAAATTCCACAATAAGAGATTCACTGTGGAGAAAGAGAAAGGTGAATTTGGAATTTTAAGAGAAAAATGTCCTGAGACTTGCCAGGAAGAAACACAAGAAAGCGCTTTTTACAAAAATGAAATGACAAATGTAGAACAGAGTATGTGTGTGTGTAATAAATAAGCAGCTGGTGCATTCTCTTCCTATCTTTTGCATTTTGGTTACACTCCACTTTTAAACATTACAAATCAAATACAAATTTGATGTTAATATTTAACACCAAAAGAAACATTTCACTCTCCTCTTCCATTTTATCACCATTCAGTGAAGCAGTGGCACATGAAAGAAAGAACAGACTAAGTAGATTGCACTGTCAAAATGTGTATTCAAGTGCAGATGCTCACTGACTTTTGTTCTACAGTATGCGCAAACCGGTGGGAATGTATTCAAATATACACCCCACTGAAAGTGTAAAAATATGGAAGATGCCTTTTACTGAGCCATTGGTCCATCTAGCTCAATTTGGTTTACACCAGGGGTTGGCAACCTAAGGCCCATGGGCCACAAGCGGCCCACAGGGGTCATTAACTGGCACATGAACTGAGCCGCCTGCTTGGCGAGTCCCTGTGCGCTGCACCAAGCCGGCACGGGGATGGACTTGCTTCCGTGGTACTGGAAATCACACCTGCGCAGATGCAGACACTGGAAAATGTGTGCACGTGTGCTCACACACACACGCAATCCGGCCCATGGAGGGATCTCCACTGGAGTGAACCAGCCCAGGCAGGGTAAACCTTGCTGACTCCAGAATTTCAGACAGGACTGGCTCCTCCTCCTTGCTTACAATTGTATGTACTGTTTTCTGTTGGCATTTGAAGATCCAAGGGCAGTGTGTACAAGCACCGCCCTTGGCATCTCTCCCACATAAAGACTTTAAAAAAGCTCTCATCAACAAAAAATCCCCTCTGCTTCCATGTATTTCCTGCTACAGTCTTCATGACAGCTATTTCCCTGTAATATGTAAAGTTAAAGAAATGTGTAGTGCTTAGAAGCTGCTAAATGTTCTTTTCAGTATGCACCTGTGTGTCCTCTGGCTATTTTTGACACCTGCTATCCAAGAAAGCTATGTATACAGCTATATTATTTGTACTAATAGAACAGCAGGTGAACTCATTGGCATGTGGCTTCATTGACTCTAAACATAAAAACAGCCCCCCCACCGCCAGTTTTTTGAACAGCAGGGCTATATTATATTACGAGAAAAAGAAAAGAAAGGCAGCAGTGTTCAAATCTCTCTGAGACAGTGAGCATTTTCAATAAGCATTTGTGGAAACAGGTTAAAAAACACTTGCACCAGGGTCTTCCTTGAAATATATTTTTACCTCTAAGTTGTGCTAAAGGTATTGTTCTAACTCAATACCTTATGCATCCACCTATCCAAAGTCTTTATATTGAATGTATTTTCTCCACCGCAGTAAAAAGGCTAGAGAGTTTGAATTTGAGAAGCAGATTTGCCGACTGTTCAGTGAGCATCAGATCAATTCTGCCATTAAATTCTTAATGAAGTGTCATCCCAAGCCCTTATATAGTGTATTGAAAAGCAGGATGCAGTAGAAAAGTGACATTGAGCACCTCAGTCAAAACAAATGCAAAATAAAAGCATGCCCTGACATGGGATAGCAAAGCAGCTGGAGGAGGAGGAGAGGACAGCACATAAAGAAAGAACTGTGAGTGGAGAGGAGCCCTTTCCGCATCCTCTGGACTCCCTGGGGAACTCAACAAATCTGCTGTACCTGGAGCTGGGTGTGGAGAGTGCAGCTGGACGGGACACAGCTGTGGGCAGCCTGAGGAAGTACCATGCACCTTGGGTCTGCCCATAAAAAGCAAGCATAGAGTGAGAGAATGTAATCCGTTTTGGAAGGATGCTCGACTTCCGAAACAATTGCATTCTGAGGCGTGGCTTCTGACTGGCACTTACTTCCAGGTTTTCGACGTTCAGGAGCTAAAACATTCAGGAACGGAGCAGTTCGAGAACCGAGGTTCCACTCTGTGTGCGTGCAATGTATTTGTAATATTTTGTTTAAGTTGTCTGTTGCTGCTTTAGATTTTTGTACACTGCTTAGATATATTTTTAATATATTAAGCAGTATCTAAATTAAATAATCAAAAATCAAAATAGGCATTCTGCAACTGTAATGGATGGAGGGGAGGTCTGGGGTTCTTCATACAGCCCCATGACCTCAAAGACTGCCTGTTCTTAAATTGGATCTGTAGGGCAAGCTAAATGATCTCAGAAGAGGAGCATTCTTGCTCTCTGGTGATGATGAGCAACTCCTACCTATCAAGGCAATGGAGGGAGGGAGGGAAGATGTAAGAAGTAGATTTCAAAACTGGTTTCTGGATGTTTCAGAAGCTAATCAAAAGATACAAAATGTAACTTTTAAATATCTATTAATTGTATGATTTAACTCTTGACTAAACTTCTCTATTCTCAACTTGTATTAGCAAAATTCTTAAAAGGGAAACAAAAGGATTAAAAAAGCCCTGAGATGCCACAATAAGCAACCCAAAAGTCCCCTAAAAATGATAGCACTTTGGAATATTTGCCGAACTGTCCTTTATCTCTAAGCATACAATGGCACGTGTCAGCACTTGACAGTTACATGTTACAAAGTAATTTACAACCACTTTGTTTCACTCACATAAGTTTATTATAAACGTAAGGTTAACATAGCACAAAAAGATAGCAAAAGCAATCTTGAAGCTTAAGGCAACTCTTAAAGAGATGAGTTTGAAGATGATGCAACTCTTGTTTAAATAGAAATTATGAAAAAATATCAAATTGCATCAATAACTTAAAGTTTTTAAGTTTAGCAGGTCTGCACTAGCTAGCACAGGGAGAGGGCTTGTGATCTTAATGCCAGCATTAAGACATGGTGGCCCAGTTTGGACAACTGTATCTTGGCTCAACAAGCCAATATGTGAATGAGTCTATTGCCTGGGCACACAGCACCTTTGTTCCTCCCTTGATGATGCAGGCAGTAAAACCAGGAAACCTGTAACTATCATTAGTTAGAGTAGCAAAGGGGCTGTGTGCATGAGCAAAACATCTATTTTTATATTGGGCTATTAAGCTGAGATATGATCATTCAAACATGGCCATTAAGTAGCCAAATTCTAGATAATAGGGGGAGAAGGTTATTTACACACAGACAGCAAAGGTATATATGCAATAGTATAATTTGTGTACTCATGATTTGAAACTACTATCAGAAGTAATCAGGAAACACCATACTATTTGAAATACAAAGGAAAGGAACATCACTGACAAAAATGGAACAGCAACAGAAAACTACTTTTTGGACCATTCTTTCTTCCCTGGATGAGGAAAATGTGCATGGAAAAAATATTAACATGAGCAACATATTTCTATTTAATGGATCTGTTTGGGACAGAACCTATGGATGACTGTTAAGAGTATTAAAAAAAGATTCAGAGTTGTCATATCCAGGGAAGTTGTTCAGATATTTGTAATTGTTATAAGTTCAACTACCAGCATTGACAAGGAATGTTGCATTCTATTCATATTAACACAAAAAATGAATGTTGTGGTTTAAAGCCTAAAATGCTAATTTAGATTAGATTGATGTTCACGCCACATAACAAATGGAGAAACAAAACTGGTTTGACACAAGATTTGGTAAACAGTACTCTTGAGTAATATAATAGAAGAAAGCAGGGACTGAAGTGCAAAAGTGAACAATCCTCAATAATTATTTTCTCCAAATCTTATGCTACTAGAAAGTATCATAACAAAATTGTTAAGTAACAAAAAAACACACCAAAGGCAACTTTGGGCCAATATGAGACTGTTTTGCATACAATTCAAATGTCTCAATTCGTATTTTAATCTAGGCTAAAGAATAGGATACAAAAAGAGTTAAGCAGCTACTTTCAACATGATTGTATTCAAGATATCAGCTTCACCCTCAGCCATCATAGACTAATGTCAAATGCAATCAGAAAGATGGAGTATCCCATTTCAGATTTTTACAGAGTCCCTGAAGAGCCATACTGCAATGAGTTCCAATCAGTTTCAGCAGGTTATCTGAACTACATTAACTACAACTAGTAACTGCAGAACAGAATCTACAACAGAACGTGCGGACAGATTAAAATCTCATTTAGACATTTTGCCATCTAAAACATTAACTTTAAGTTAACAATATTTCATGGTATATTGGAGTGTGGTTTTTTAAAAAGTTTATAAACATGTAATTCAGTAAATCAATTGACAACACTCTTACTTGGTCTAGGCTGCATAATGTAAAAAGAATAAAATGTGTTGAAAGTTAGAGAAGAGAAAGTGCATAAAAAGACAATACCACAAAGAATGCATGTGTAAAAGCAAGAACACTATGACAAACAAACTTCCAAAAGCCCATATAAAAATTATTTTGAAAGTTTTTGTTTTTTAAAAAAGTCACAAAAAACTTTATTCTGCAACGTTTGACCTATTCTGAAATGAATGAATATTACAGTTGAGGAATTGTTTTTATAGCTGCATTAATTGTTCTCGTCACTAAAATAGTGCCAACAAAATTATAAGCTTGCATAGAGAAACAAGAATTTCAAATCCCCATTGGCAACATGCTTAAAGAAAAGAAATGCAGATAATACAACACAAACATAGTGCAAACCATGGCGGGACATGATAGTTTGGTTGCCGCAGGTCAGGGAATAGACTATAGTATATACCCAGTTATCACAGTTTCTGGTCTTTTAATTCCATCATTTGCCAAGTTTAAGCGTCACACTCATGGCACAGCCGTTGTTCACTTAACGCAGTTTGAGATCATCACCACCTCCCAGGGTTGAGCCAGGACTAGGGTCTTGTTGTCTTCTTGCCTGAATTAACATGGAAAGGTGGAGAAAGGAGGAAGAGAGTTAAAATGTATTGAATATTTTAAAGCAAAATATGGTTTCAAATGGTGTATATCAATATGCATTCTAAACCAGCACTATGAATACTTGACAAAAATGGTCCTCTCTATCCCCATGCTCTTCCCCAGAATGGCCATGGCACACTTCTCCTCAAATCAAAAAGGGCCCCATAGAGCTAGCAGGGCTGGCTCTCCCAGCTATTAAAAGGGTTAGGATATGAGGTGGCAGTCTTAACCCTAGGAAAGGGAAGGCCAAGCATCTCTGCCACTGCTGTCACTTGGTTGTAAGCTGTTTCTACTTACGCCACAGGAATGGAAATTTTACTTTTCTTTTTAGTGGGGGCATAAAGACCATTTCCATGTACTCACCTTCATCCAAATATTCTAATATAAAAACCAGACCTTATGAAAACCTGTAGAAGTCATTTTTTGGCTTTGCTGAGACAGGAATTTATAAATCATGAAGGAAACAGTGGCCCAGTTCAGTCATAGAGGGGAAACCAGTGGTTCCCCTTATGTCTGACCTGGGCTACTATTGATTCTATTCAGAAAGACAAAAAGAGGAAATTGACAAAAACTTAAAAACAGCACGAAGGATGCATTTATTAAATGGCAAGTGACATTTCTGACAACCTGCTTTCATTGAAAAAATGATTTTTGTTAAAAAAGTTAAGCAAACATCATTAAGCAAAACTAGAAATAATAATATTTCTCTACCACTCTTCATTTGAGAACCACAGAGCAGTTTACAATATAAAAACAAAAATGCATAACATAGTAACAAATGAAAACAATACTGCCCCAGTTAGCCAAAGGCCTGGGAGGACTGCTTTTGCCTGGCGCCTAAAGATATGTAACGAAGGTGCCAGGTGCAACTCCCCTCCCCACCCCACATCTGTTCTGGAGGATTCCCCAACCTGCTGGAATAGATTTTAGGGGCAGACTGGAAGCTGAAGGAGGGAGAAGAGAAAAAGGAAGTGCCTTTTGCAAAAGCAGAAGTTTGCTGTGCAGGTGGGATGCCACAGTTGGATATCATTCTTATATTTTTATTTCTTTTTATACCCAAGAGACTACGAAAGAGCCTCAAAATGAAATCAGTCACAGCATTTTTTTTCTGTATGCTACAAGGAGCTGCAAATCTCTCCTTCTTACAGTTGCACTCTTTGTTGGTAAAGAAAAACGGAGTCTGCTGTTTGTTATGACTATTCCTCTGGCCTTGCCAGATAATCATAGACAAGGTCTTGGGAAGCTGAACCCAAGAACAAGTGCTCAAGTGTTTTTATCAGGCCCAAGCCCACCAAGGGCCAGTGAAAATCTCAGTGAAGACAGTTGTCAACACTGAAGCTACACAAATCGCCTGTAAGGAGTTTGACCAGTTGCCAGCAGAAGAAGGGAAAGGATTCTCTGGCAATAGAAGGGACCATAAGATTTTGTCTGTTTCCTCATGCTTTGTTCTTTACTTTCCTCATCCTGTTAATGAAAAACCTGTTAAGGAGCAAGTTTGGTGGTCTTCATTGCCCATCTGAATCCTAAACTACCCATCCCTTAGGAAATCTCACCCCGCACCTTCTCTGTAGCCCAAGACTGGCTGAAAACCAAGATAACATGTTTGTGTTTCATATTAATGTTTTTTCTTCAAGAAAGCAAACACCTCTATATTAGTACTACCCTGGCAGAACTTCAGATTGATGTAGGCACATATATTTTCTTGTAACCTATTATTTCATTGGAGTACAGTGGTGCCTCGCAAGACGAAATTACCGTATTTTTCGCACCATAGGGCGCACTGGACCATAGGGCGCACCCGGTTTTTAGGGGGGAAATCAAGAAAAAAATATTCCCCCCCAACCCCAAAGAGCAGCGTACAGGCTGCGCACAACCTCTCCCTGCCGGAGGGGTTGCGCGCAGCTATGGAGCAAGCCAAGGCAGGGGGCGGGATGGATCCCGCTCACTGTTTTGGCTTCCCCTTTATCCCTGTGCAGCCTCTCCTTGCCGGGAGACGCTGTGCAGGGCTAAAGAATCCATAGCCCCGTGCAGCCTCTCCTTGCCGGAGGGGTTGCGCGCAGCTATGGAGCAAGCCAAGGCAGGGGGCGGGATGGATCCCGCTCGCTGTTTTGGCTTCCCCTTTAGCCCCGTGCAGCCTCCCCCTCCCGGGAGAGGCTGCGTGGGGCTAAAGAATCCATAGCCTCGTGCAGCCTCTCCTTGCCGGAGGGGTTGCGCGCAGCTATGGAGCAAGCCAAGGCAGGGGGTGGGATGGATCCCGCTCGCTGTTTTGGCTTCTCCTTTAGCCCCGTGCAGCCTCCCCCTCCCGGGAGAGGCTGCGTGGGGCTAAAGAATCCATAGCCCCATGCAGCCTCTCTTTGCCGGAGGGGTTGCGCGCAGCTATGGAGCAAGCCCAGGCAGGGGGCGGGATGGATCCCGCTCGCTGTTTTGGCTTCTCCTTTAGCCCCGTGCAGCCTCTCCTTGCCGGGAGACGCTGTGCAGGGCTTTCCTGGCTTTCCTGGGAGGTGGGGGGATTCCCCCACCTCCCGCAAAACCGGCAGAAGCCGTGCGCACTTTAAAAAGGCTGCACGGCTTCTTCTGGCTTACCTGGGAGGTGGGGGGATTCCCTCACCTCTCGCAAAAGCCCGCAGAAGCCGCGCAACTCCTTTAAAGAGATCGCGGCTTCTCCTGGCTTTTCTGGGAGGTGGGGGGATTCCCTCACCTCTCGCAAAAGCCCGCAGAAGCCGCACAACCCCTTTAAAGAGATCGCGGCTTCTCCTGGCTTTTCTGGGAGGTGGGAGAAGGGACTGATGCGGCCAGTCAGTCCCTTCTCCCTCCTGTGGAAAAGCCTGCAAGAGCGCACGGAGCTTGTGTGAGGCTCTTGGGGGCTTTTCCCGCCTGCCTCCCCCTGCATTCGCTCCATAGGACGCACACACATTTTCCCTTGCTTTTTAGGAGGGAAAAAGTGCGTCCTATGGTGCGAAAAATACGGTAATCCGTTCCGCAAGTCTCTTCGTCTTGCGGTTTTTTTGTCTTGCGAAGCACGGCTATTAGCGGCTTAGCGGCTATTAACGGCTTAGCAGCTTTAAGAAAAAGGAAAAGAACTCGTAAGACGTTTCGTCTTGCAAAGCAAGCCCATAGGGAAATTCGTCTTGCGGAACAACTCAAAAAACGGAAAACCCTTTCGTCTAGCGAGTTTTTCGTCTTGCGGGGCACCACTGTATTTGGTTCTCAGTGTTTAAGAAGCTGAGCACCCCGATCTGGTAGAATGCATCATACCATGGAACCAAGTTTTACTGGCAGTTTCCTAAGGGAAAAAATACCTTGGGACAGGCCTTGGTAATCATTATATACCAATTGGTCCTCAGTATTTAGCAAAAAAAAAAAAAAAAGAGGAGGAACTGGGGAAGAGAGAGGCAGTACAATGTAGAGGCAGTTAAAACACATCACAGCAACGTAAGTTGAACTAAAAAAGGGTTCTGCTCTTGCTAGATCGTGCCTGTTAGCCAAACTCCAAAATGTACATTAATAAAAGCAGAAAGACCATCATAGGCATCTAGTTATGATTCGACATTGGCCGGCACCAGGGGAGTTGTCTTGTGGGGTCCTGCATGTGTCAGAAATTGTAAAATGATTTTTAGTTAAATTAACTCTCAACCTGCATATTATTGTCTTGGCTACCTCAAAACAAAAAATTATGAATTAACTGTTTAAGCAATTCAAGTTAGCAAAGCAAATAAATAAGGCAAAATTCCATATATACAAATTAAGCTTTAGTTCTGTTAAGCTAAATAAACTGTGTTTTGCAGACAGTTCTTTGTTTCATGGTCTGAGTGTATGAAATTCAACCTCAGCAACTGCACTTCGTTTGTACTGTTAATCAATTTTCAGCATGAACAAAGAAGTCCCCATGACCCAGTTCATGGCAACTCCTGCAGATGGTGCTGGCTGTGTCATACAGGCAGATTAGGCAGGCAACTACCAGAGAGACACAATTTAAGGTGCTCTTACTGGAGTTCCTTAGCTTTTTGTGCTTCTTTTAATGTGTGTGGCTTTACAAACCAAGTATAATCCAGAATTCTCTGCAAAACCACAGAAAATTCAAATCTGTTCTCTCAATTTGTACATAAATGTCATTGCCCCACCTGATGTGGGGAAATGCCCAAATCTGTACTAGAAGTAGATGATGTGAGGCTAAGAGATGCTTTTTATATGACCTTTTGCTATCCACAAGAGATATAAAGAGTGTACCCTGGATATAAATCACTACTTAAAAGGAAAAAAATAGTGACTTTCATTGTAAGGGTCATTCATTTTCAATTGACACCAAACACAGCTTTTTGTGTAAGAAGCACGTTTTTCATGCTGTTTCACAAACGGCAAAGAAAAACTGAATGAAAAGGTAGTTCATATACGGAAACTTTTTTCAAAATGCAGTGGGAAAGAGAATAGACAGCGGTGACAACCATTTTGCTAAGGGTATTCAAGCACTGGAATGTGATGGTGGCAGATACATACTGCAATGTCAAATAACTTGAATTGTATCACAGTAAATTTCAATTTGACATTTCTTTAAAAATGCAAAATAAAATATTTACAGATATACAGTATTAAGTCTCATGTATTAGCATTTCAAAACAAACACATTTTTGTTTTGTTACTGAAATGCTTTGGGGGGAAATAAACTTCTGTGTTACTTAAGCAGAATCAAGGTTCACTTTCTCTCATACACCATGGCAACAGAATAGCACAGCCTTATTTGTTTACGGCTGCAATCCAACTTTCCTAGGAGTAAGCCCCACTGAACATATTGGAACTTACTTCTGAGTAAGCACACACAGGATTGCACTGTAAAGATGTTATCTAGCAGCAAATGGTGTACATAAAAAGTGCAACTGAATGCCATACTAAGAAACCCTTTTACATTTTGTCCAAAATCAATGCTGAGTGTGGTATCATGCAGATCAATTTTGCAAGTCAAGCAATACTGTAATATAAGCAACTTCTTCCAGTCAATGCAGGTTAGAAAGAGGCTGAGCATCAGCGAGACAGTGACTGACAGTGATCAATAGTAATTATATATTTATAGCATCTCCACCAGACATGAAACAATACTGAAAGTACATTTTATCCTAGTGGGAAAAACCCATAAGAAAGGTAGGATATTTAGCTGCCTTTCATAGACATAAAGATATGATACTAGTGAAACTGGAAAAAGTATTAGGCGGCTAGGATTCAATTTTCAGCTACAATTTCATGTTGTGATAAAGTTTCCTTATTAAAGGAAATGGCCAACTGGTAATTTCAGTATTTTAAAGCATGCAAAGTAATGTTTCCATCACCATATATTCTGATGTTAGATGTCAGCTTTTCAATCTCTCCATACAAAAATCCATCAAGGGGTAAGACATATTCATTTCTTATATTCATACTCTGGATTGCGTTCTTCTTTCTGATGTTTCCAGGCTGCATATTGAAAGCTTGCTTTCCTCCTCCCCTAGACACAACTGTTCCAATGAAAAGCATCATCTGAGCCATTTTGAATTCTATTTCTACAGCTACTTTTATTTGCAAAACTCTGGTTTTTGTTTTTTTTTAATAATTCAGAGGGGTTTGTTTCTAGGATTCTTGTGACATCTTGAAGACAGTTCTGGCATAAGCTTTTGTGGACGGAAGCCTGCTTCATCAGATGCATGAAGTGAAATCTTAGTTGGCAGTTATATGCAAAATAAATTGCAGCTAGTGATAATTAGAACATTTAATTTAACAGATATTTGTTAAATAGGCACACCTTTAAAGCTTTGATTGTTATTTTGGTTGTTTTTACTAAAATTATACAAAACATTAGGATAGGAAAAGAGTTTGGAAACTTTAGCACATTTACTGTCTTTCAACAACAGAAAACAACTTTTTGTCAAATTCTCTTTATGCTGGGGTAGGAGGGTGCTACCACAATATTAACAAATACACTGGGAAATTGCCTGTCCATGACATCAGCCAAAAGTATATACAGTAAACAGAGCATTTGTAATGTTCTTGTCTGAACTGATTTGGACGTTTTGCCATATTATGCTTATTGAAGCATGACCAGCAAAGAATCAAAGATGCTTTGCTGAAAATGATTTTGTCATTTATTTTTATCATCCTTCCTGCTCTCAAACTGTCAACCTTCTGTCATAAAGAACAGCTATCAAATAGCATAAGGGCCTAATATTCTTCATTCTGTACCATGAAAAACTCATTTCAATGGCTTGTATAAAATTTGCATATTAAGCAGATGTATGCAAATATGCTTATTTTGTGCAGGCTTGTCCATAAGCAGAGACAGAGAGATATGCAAAGTACTTTTGGTTCAACTCTCAATCCCTGCTACAGAGATTGAGGATGCTGGATGAGGTGTTTAGCATAAAATTCTAGTTTGCTCTGCAGTTCCAGAAATGTTGGACTTTGTTTAGGTTGGCGTATTATGCAATTCTTTGAAAGGGCAGAAAAGCAGCAGAATAGGTACCAGCAGTAGAATTCAGCGGCTGAAAAAATCTCAGCTTCATTTAACACAGATCTGTAAACTTAATCAATAACTAAAATAACTTATTTGCTCAGAAAAAAACTTTAATTGGCTGCTGTAATTAGTAAACATTTTTCAAATACTGTTTCAAGCCCTGTGCCATAACTTGTTTCCATATTATTTGTGTTGTACATCTATTTTCTCCTTTCAAGTAAGAACATGTCAGTCTTGTATTTTTTTAAAACTGACTTGCTACTTTATACAAATATTATTTGAACATGCTCTTATAATTTTATTTGTGAAATCTTTCACTTATGCAAGATTATAAAAAAATGTTTTTGCAGTTTCTTGAAGTGGTAATCAACAATAGTAGCTCTAATAAACCCAGAACAGTTCGGCTGATTTATCCTTTAAAATAGATAAAATAAAATTCAAAATGTGACTGATTATGTTTGAAAGATTCAGTAAGAATTTTTTGTTGGATTTCTTTGCAGATGTAATAATCTACTGGCTTCTTAATAGTTAAAAAAGCGTTGCACAGCATGTTATAAAATAAAGGAACATCTTTTCTAGGAAAGAAAGCTGTATAAATAAAGAATAAATTCTGATCATTTTCATATGCTGCTAAGGTTTGGCTGAATGCTTCCCAAGGGCTGGCGCCTCTCTTTTGGTAGGGGCAGACAAAGTATTGCAAGGGTTTCTCTGTCTTCACTGAACTCAAATGTGGTATCTATTAAAGCCATTTAAACGATGCATGATATATATATATATATATATATATATATATATATATATATATATATATATGCTTTCGTAGATTTTCACGGGTACAGGAATGCAGGTTTTGGTGTCCTCGGGTGTCTTCCCGTGTAAAAGTTGGGGTGTCTAGGCGACGTTTCGACGAGGTCTCACTCGTCATCTTCAGGCTGGTGCTTTCGGCTTCTTGTTACTGGAACAGAGGGCTCTGTTCCAGTAACAAGAAGCCGAAAGCACCAGCCTGAAGATGACGAGTGAGACCTCGTCGAAACGTCGCCTAGACACCCCAACTTTTACACGGGAAGACACCCGAGGACACCAAAACCTGCATATATATATATATATATATATATATTTGCTTTCGTAGATTTTCACGGGTACAGGAATGCAGGTTTTGGTGTCCTCGGGTGTCTTCCCGTGTAAAAGTTGGGGTGTCTAGGCGACGTTTCGACGAGGTCTCACTCGTCATCTTCAGGCTGGTGCTTTCGGCTTCTTGTTCCAGTAACAAGAAGCCGAAAGCACCAGCCTGAAGATGACGAGTGAGACCTCGTCGAAACGTCGCCTAGACACCCCAACTTTTACACGGGAAGACACCCGAGGACACCAAAACCTGCATATATATATATATATATATATATATATATGCGCTATATATGCAGACTTTGCAGCAGCTCAAGGTATGATTTATAACAATGAAACTTTCAATCTTCATTGTTCCAGACTTTAAGTGGTCTACTTTGTATATGTATGTGAAAAAAGCAGTGTTTCATGGTTTGATTTTTTAAAAGAATTTTTTTCTATATCTTCCCTCTATGAAAATAGTACCAATGCTGAAGCTAGCCAAGATAATCTTTTCATTTACTCCATGATCAAGACTACTTTTAAAAATGTATTAAAGTTGAGGGGAAATGAACAAGGGGAAAAATATTTAATTTGTATTTTTAAACAAGTATTACTTCCCAAGTATGTATGTATGTATATGTGTATAAAGGTAAAGGTAAAGGGACCCCTGAACATTAGGTCCAGTTGTGGCCGACTCTGGGGTTCTGGCGCTCATCTCACTTTATTGGCTGAGGGAGCCGGCATACAGCTTCCAGATCATGTGGCCAGCATGACTAAGCCACTTCTGGCGAACCAGAGCAGTGCACAGAAATGCCGTTTACCTTCCTGCCGGAGTGGTACCTATTTATCTACTTGCGCTTTGATGTGCTTTCAAACTGCTAGGTTAGCAGGAGCAGGGACCGAGCAACGGGAGCTCATCCCGTCACGGGGATTCAAACCGCTGACCTTCTGATTGGCAAGTCCTAGGCTCTGTGGTTTAACCCACAGCACCACCTGTGTCCCAGCGCCACCCACGTCCCGTATATGTGTATACTGCCCAACAGATATGTACCACATTTGCCTCTTTTTCCCCATTGCGCTATAAAAAAATTAATCTGCCAGTCTACTATACCATTGATAGGACAAACTTTGGTTCTTTATTTAACAATGTACATACATAATTCAATGCAAAATTCTATCATATGCAGTAACTACTGTGGCATATGCAGAAATAGGGCACACAGTCTGAATTACTTTGTCCAAGAGGTGAAAGTTAACAATGCTGGATTAGATCATTTTAAATTAAAATATGTTTTAGCTTTAGGGATTCTAAGATCAGCAGCTATGTACTTTCAAGTGGCAAAATTGCACTGATTGAAGAATTTGTACCCTTAATGTACTAATATAATGCTTTTAACCCAAACAGGATTCATTGAAATGACAACATCAAAATAAAACATAAGATTTTAGCAACATGCTCCGGGCAGTAGTTTATTGAGAAAAAAAATCTAGATTTTTGGTAGAGTACTAACCAGTAACTGACAGCAGCTGTGAAACTCTCACCTCCATTTCTTCCCGATGAGACCTGTCTCTGTCCTCGAATTCACGAGTTCTTCTCCGAGCTTCTTCAAAAGCCTGCTGTGCCAATGCATCTTCCTGCTACCAACCAAAAGTACAGGGTCACACAAGAAGCACCTTTACACTGATTTGGGGGGAAGACCTCTCCAATTGCTCACCTCTAGACATCATTTAGGCAGTAGTGGGCTGTGGCATGGCCCTCCCAACACTGACATAGCTTATCTATATGGGGCAGACTGTGGTGAGATTAAGACTGCATGAGCACACCAGCATGAGCACTGCAGTTGCTCTGTTGGTGTACCTGTGCAGTCCTATCCTATTAATGCTAGTATTGGGAGGGCAGCTTTGCCACACCATAAGGGCAACCACTGGATTGAGGTGACTTTATTTTAAAGAAATGGAGTAACAAGACCACCTAAAGAGATGAGCTACTAATCAGGCAGAATCACGAAGAGGAAAATCTCTGCCTCTCCCTGCTCCCTGCACTGGTACCACTGGCTCCTGCTATTTTGGGGGGACCATAAGCACCCAAAAGGGGCAAAAAGATTTGCTCTAAGTGACATCTCTCCTCCTCCTCCTCCTTCTTAGACCCTAAAGATAGTGTCTTCTTGTTCTTGGTCTCCATCAGATATTCCTCCAGAGGATCCCCACATATTCCCTCCCACAAGAAATGCCCAGTTGCCAGATTAGTTTTGGATTTTGCATCAACATTCCAGGTCTTGAGCCACAGGTGACTCCCAATGGCCACATCAGTAGCCACATCCATCATAAAGGCAAAATCTTTCTTTGGTTTATGAAGACCCTGGCAGAGATTATGGCAACCACAGGGTACCTCCTCAAGCAGTGAAAAGGAAGCCCACCATGCCACCACAGAAGAAGCGGCAATGGCCCTCACTACCAGAGGCATGACCTCATGTGCCCTATGGTGAAAGACTTCAGGACACCTATCCACTACATTCTTGGGGAAATCATACCTATGTCTCTGGCAGCCACCAGGCCAGAAGTAATAGGGGAAATGGGGCATCTACCAAAGAGCTTTGCCATGCTATATCTGGGCAAGGAGCAAAGCCTCTTAGGAGCCAAGCCCAAATAGTGCACCCCATTAGGTTTGGCCCACTCCCATAGAACATTTCTAAATGTTCTTCAGAACATTTATTTCTAATAGTTGCAGTGAGGTTGTTCAAATTTCTTTTTTTGGTCCTCCCCACAAACTAATTGACCTGTTTTAAAGAACTACTTGTCTAACAATATGCAATAAAGTGAAATTCTCTTGCACTTTTCCCAGGCAGAATTACACTCTTTCTTCTTCATCTTGTCTCTTTTAATATATTTTTTTAAATAATCAAAACTTTTAAACTACATTTGTCAAAGTACAGCATGCTACATTCAGCATGATGATTTTCCTTTAATAGTGTGGCTTTGCAAAAATGTGCAGGTTAAATAAGTCCTGCTCCAGAGAATCCAGCTACATTTTAATATACCAAGGGACTAAGTACATTAAATTTTAAAATAAAATGTCTGTAGTGAGAGAATGTCAAATTGCCTTTTTTGCCTAGGGCACTTCCTGCACCCTAAAGCTATTTTGTGAAATGATGTGGAAGAGTTCCCCCTGTGGCCTTGCTTAGTTTTAATACAAACATCTGTCAATCAGTAAACATCAGCTTAGGCCCAAGCAGCATGCACTAAAGGGCAATGTGCAAATTTTTCATTAAGGTCTATTTTTAAGAAGCAGCTCCATCTCTCCTTGGCAATTTTTATGTTGGAACAGCATAATACAAGGTCTTTCAGGGATCTGATTTTTTTTAAAAAAAATCAATATCTTTTAATAGAGAAGCAAGACCCAAACAGCTGAAAGCAGGATGTTCAATAAAAGGCCATAATTAAATAAAAGCCCTCTTTTTCTAAGAGAAGAATTCATTTCACAGGTAGAAGCTGTTTTACGACTTTTATGTGAACTGCACAAATATTTTAATTAGTAATTAAATCCAAACTGAGGACATCATAATGCCATTATGTAAATCTAGGGTGTGAACAGATTTGGAATACTGGGGTATAGTTCTGATCACTTTACTTGAAAAAAGATATTGTAGCGTTGGAAAAGGTTCAGAAAAGGGTACCCAAAACAATCAAGAGGATGAAGTGACTCCCCTGTGAGTTAAGGTTGCAGCGTTTGGGACTTTTTCATTTCATTTCATTTCGTTGAGAAGAGGCAAGATGATATAAAATAGGGTGCAGTATGGAGAAAGTGGTTACAGAAATTTTTTCTCTCGCTCTCTTATATCACTAGAACTCATGGACATCCCATGAAGCTGGTTGCTGGAAGATTCAGGACAGAAAAAAGGAAGTGCTACTTCATACCATGCATTGTTCAGCTATGGCGAACAACTTAGATGGCTTCAAAAGAGGATTAGACAAATTTATGGAGGAGAGGGCTACTGACTGCTGCTAGCCATGATGGGTATGCTCTGCTTCTGCAGTTGGAGGTAGCAATGCTTCTAAAAATCCCCTGCTGGAAACCACAGGAGGGAAGAGTGTCCTGTGCTCAAATCTGCCTTGTGGGTTTCCCATGGGCATCAGGATGCCAAACTACATGGGCCGGCAGGCTCTTCCCGTGTAATTATATTCAAAGACAATTATTTTTCTATTAAGAAAACTACTTATTGTCACCTGTGAGCCTTGCATCTGCCACCGTTTCAGTCTCTAGCATTTCATGGGGTGAAAAGACAGAGGAGGTGAGGTGTCAGGCATGCTAGGTTAGTTGTGAAAACTAGGTCATAGACAAAAGAAGGAGTGGCCTGGATGAAATATGCATGGATGAGGTACACAACTATAGGAAACAGAGGTGGTGGAGGGCCAAAGTTGAGAAAAGAGAATGAGATGGAAGCATCAAAGAAAAGCCTAATACAAGGTCTAGGTCAATAAGAGGTTTTATGTTGCCGAATTTTCAGGGTTTTTAATGAAGAATTATCAGTTATCACAGACAAATGCATGATTAGTTTAATAAACACTAAAGTACACCATGACTATTCAATGCCCCAAGTGCAAGTGAACCTACTGCTACCCAAGTAGGTATAAGCAAGCTTCAGTTTTCCTTCCATTTAACTACAGAATAAGCAGGATGGCTATGGAACTAGAAAGCACAGGGTTTGCATGCATTTTAAATTATGGACAAGGAAGTTCAGAAGCGCAAAGGGGAAAAGATAAAGAAGTTAAGACCAAAGGCAGACCTCCTAGAAAGAACAAGGGAAACTGAAAGAACATGACAGAAGTTTTTCTATCTCTACTATCTTCTTTTCTTTGAAGGAAAACAGTGGAGAGTGGGGAGATTTCTTCCTTGGACCAAAAGGCAGACTGAAATATGCTGATCATATGTGATTGAAGATGCAAGAACTAAATCCAAACAGTGATCCTGCTTATGCTTTCAATTTCTCATTATACGATTTCCCCATCCAAAGTTATAAAGTACTGCATACCAAAATTATAAATTTTGCTTCACGATATAACTGAGATGTGAGAAGTTTGAAGCTCCCTACTTTACCTGTGCCCGTTCTTCATCAAATTCTAAGCAGCCCATGCCATCCAGTCTTTGGAGATCTATCCAGCCTTTCCAAATAACACAAACACCATTAAGAATCATAGGCGCTTTTAGGTAGACCTGAAATATAAGAAGACATATACTGATAATGCAGACTGTTTGCATAGGCATGAATCAACACTCATGGTCATTACAGGTAAGCCATGGCTGATAATTTACTGTGAATGCAAAGTTCACTCCCATTTCACTCCTCCCTGTTAGTATGAAGAGCAATAAACTACAACTCTTAACTTAGTATTCCTTGTGAAATGAGGATCATAGTTTGTTTCGTTCAAACAGACTATAACTAGTAAGCTAAGAATAAGCCTTCATATGCTCTGCTAAGCCAAAGAACACAATTTCTTGCTCTTGCTCAGTAGTGAGGAGGAGTGAAGTGGGGATGATCTGTGTGTTCGTTGCTTACCAAAACAAGCAAACACATTGTGTATATTCAATTGTAATTTTGTTAGCCATTTTGAGCATACCAGTGGAAAATGTAACATAAAAGCAAATTAATAAAAACACATAGTTTTCAACATTGTATTTGTCACATTGAAAGCCAAAACAAACCTCATACCCATGGTAGCTTCAATCAGGGCTGACCCAGTCACTGAAAGTAGTATGTCTGTGCCTTGAATAGGTCACCAGATTCTAGGCTCCCTCCCCCTTCCTTGCTGTCTGCCTACCTGTCCTCCCCTTACTTCTGCACCAGCAGAGGTACTGTCACCACCTCTAGTGGCAACCAATATGATCATGGTAGGTTTAATATAGCAGGCTCTACCTGAAAAAGATGGTGCCAACCTAAAGCAGCAAATGGTTAGACCTTATCATGAGTTTTTTTCAGCTCAGCTACCAGATATGTAGTGGTGGCAGCAAAAGAGGCATGAGAGGAAATTGACAAATAAGGAAAATAAAATGACCACCGTATGGAGTGGGGGAGAGAAGCGTTAAAGAAAAAGGAGTGTGACTGAAAAGAAGGGAACCAATGGTGGAAGAAGAGTTTTTTTTTCAACCAGCTTGCTCCAACCATTGTAATGAAGTCTTTTCAACCCAGCATACGTAGAGATTTATTTAAGTCATGAGTCACATGTGCCAAATTATTTTGAGCATAATTAATTGCCAACAATGAAGTTAGCTTCAAATCCTACACCATAATCACACAACGGTTAATGTTAACCACGGTTAAAATCTGTGTAGACATAACAATGAATCACAGTTAAGGGTAGCAGGGGGTAATTTGCATGCTAGAGAGGGAACAGCTGTGGAGAAGGGAAGAGGAATAGAGAAAATCCCTGTTACATTCAGCAATGGTTATGTACTTTGATGAGCCTTAAAAGGGTATTCCCCATTTTCACTATATCCAAATATTGTTTTAACCTGCCAGCAAGAAAGTGACCAAAACAAGCTCTCTTACATAATTACTCATATAGCTATCTATTTTTTCTCATCTGCTTTCCATAACACTATTCTAGATGTAGAACTACCTTCATGAACACTGCAACTTTTATCAGCTTCAAATATGTGACACCTGGTAGCACTAAAAATGGTCACTGAAAGAAGTGAACTTAGATTTTGAATTTATACAGTTTTTTGCTTCTTGCAAATATCATACAACTATGCAAATATACCATGCACATACAAGTGGCCACATCATTTTGCCAATTAGATTTAAAGTAAAGGAATTCTTAGTAGTAAGCAAGAATCATGAAGTAAACAAGTTTGTAAGGAGAGTATACTTCTAACATTTGGACATTTCCCCAAACTGCTCAAATCTTGAATGCTTTACTGAAAGAGCTTATCCTTGCAAAACAGTCAAGGTGACACAGCTAAGTTACCCCGGGCTTAAGCGTGTGGGATGCATGTTCGCAACCCACAGCGTTCGCAACCCACGTCTGCGCACGTGTGGGTTGTAATTCGGTGCTCATGCGCAAAGCGTGATTTAGCACTTCTGCGCATGCACGAACACCGAAACCCAGAAGTAACCCGTTTCGGTACTTCCGGGTTTCAGCGGTCTGTAACCCAAAAAAACGCAACCCGAAGCGGCTGTAACCCAAGGTATGACTGTAAAAGTTTATACATATGTAGCCCCAAACACATAGGCCTAATCTGTCCAACTGTTGCCTATCAAAATCAAGAGACAGCAACCAGGCTACTCTATATGCCAAGATGGCTGTCAGCTTGGGCAGCTTTACAACATGATGAGAAATTGTATAGAAGAATGGGTTATCAATTGCTATTAGTCCTTGCTATATATTGTCTGCAGTATCAGAGGCAGCTTATCTCTGAATACCAGTTGCTGCTTTTGGGCTTCCCATAGGCACCTGGTTGGCTACTGTGGGAACAGAATGCTGAATTAGACAGGACTTTGGCCTGATCCATCAGTCTTCTTACATGGCAGGTGGCATGAACCTGATCTCCATAGTTAGAGACACACCTGCAGAAGGCATTAAGTGACATTAACAGGGCCTAACAATTAAGTGGAAATATATATGGTAAAATGCATTTTCGGAGGCTTTCCTTTAACTTGTCACTAAGGAGGTTGAAATGAGATCTGTAGTATGTAATACAGATTACAGCGTTTATATTTTGAGTGGGAGTTAAATCCCTGTTTGCATTGCCAACAGTTGTGAAGACAGCATGAAAAATGAGTTGTGATTGTTTTTGAAACTGATCCTGCCAGTAGGAGCATTAAATGTCTGCCAAGATCAGTTGAGTTCAATTTCTAACTGTGCTTCTCTCAACAGGAAAGTTATTAAGGGAACTTTTTTACTGATGCAAGCAAACAAGACTGGAAAGGGGGAGGGAATAACCATACCTGCACTCCTTCCCCACCTCTACATGAAAACACCTGCAGCATACATGGGATCAACAGCTATAGGGAAGGGAGGAAAATGGGACAATTCATTTGTTAAATGGTGTACAAATTATCCCCCTCTGTGGAAGTGGTGGAGTTGCTATCAGTTCTAAACTATTTCAGTCAACTGTCCATGCTGCAAACAGCAACAACATCAGTAAGCCACTAGTTATGTAGTGGTTAGTGTGTTGGACTAGGCCCTGGGTTCAAATCCCCACTGGGTAATAAAAATCACAGGGAACCGTGGGCCAGCCACTATCTATCAGTTGAACCTACGCTCACAAGTTGCTGTGAAGACTGAATGGGGAGGAGAACCATGTATGACACCTTGAACTCCTTGGAGAAAGTAAAACAGATAAATTGCTTTGTGTGTGTGGTGTCTGCTGAACTCAATGATGAAAAAGAAGAACAAATGGGAAGACAGAACAGAGAGCCTGAAGAACAAGAGGAGGGGAAATTAAATACACAAGAAATAAAGGAACGGAGTAACAGACAGAGCTACAGTCATACCTCGGGTTACAGATGCTTCGGGTTGCACACCGTGCCGAACCCGGAAGTACCGGAACTTGCGCATAAGCGCTAAATCGTGCTTTGTGCATGCAAATGCGAGTGTGCAGACGTGGCGCTGCAGGTTGCGAACATGCTTCCTGCACGGATCATGTTCGCAACCCGAGTGTCCACTGTACTGACTATGGTGAAAAGAGAAAACACATGCAAAAGAGGGAGATTAATAGGTTTCAGATAAAGAAAAGTGTGTGCCATGATATAACAACAACAGAGTACAGTGGTACCTCGCAAGACGAATGCCTCGCAAGACAAAAAACTCGCTAGATGAAAGGGTTTTTTGTTTTTTGAGCTGCTTCGCAAGACGATTTCCCCTATGGGCTTGCTTCGCAAGACGGAAACGTCTTGCAAGTTTGTTTCCTTTTTCTTAACACCGTTAATACAGTTGCGACTTGACTTCGAGGAGCAACTCATAGAACGCGGTGTGGTAGCCTTTTTTGAGGTTTTTAAAGACTTTGGTGATTTTTGAAGCTTTTCCAAAACTTTCCTGACACCGTGCTTCACAAGACGAAAAAAATCGCAAGACGACAAAACTCGCGGAACGAATTAATTTCTTCTTGCGAGGCACCACTGTAATAGCAATAACAGTAATAACAATAAGAGAGGCAAGGCAAGCCCTAAAAATTGCAATTAGAGTCCGTATTATAAAGTCCATGGCTGAGTTTGCATTTTCAGCAGCCAAATATCAGAAATTCATCTGGCTGCAGATATCTGAGAACTGTAGATGTCTTGATTTCTTTTAAATTCCATGATTTTCCATGCTCCTGTTTTATTTTATTTGATGCTTTTACATACACTCCATTGCTTTTTTTGTGTCTGAAGGACACATATTTTCTGATTGTTTTAGCCTGATAATATTGCTACAAACTAGAATGTGTGTCTCTTAAACTTGTAGAATAATATTTTGCCCATCCCTACAGTGATCCCTCCTCAACTTGAAATTCCTGTAACTTTCTTACCAGTTGTAGCAAGTGCATAAACCACCTCTAGTGAACCCTTGCTCTGACTTTTTCTTCCTCCAAACATCCCTTTAAATCATGTTATTGTAATTTCCTCTGTCAGGGAAAGTAGGGGGCACATTTTGTAAGAAGCAAAACTGTCTGCTGTTATTGCTGAAGCCGTTTGACCACATTTCCTTTTTTAAGATAAAAACTGTTTCCTCTCCATTTCTAAAACTATTTTTGGTTTGCAGCTGTCATATCACTCACCATGCCAATTTAATCTTTGAAAATAAACTAGCTATCAGATAAAGTTACCTGAACACACATCCAAATCACTATAAGCCATTGCCCAACAGTTGCTACCAAAATGAGGGAGTAGTTTTGGTATGTCTCAAAAATAATCAGCCAATGAAAATGTGTTTTTTCAGGGTAAAAACAACTTGGTACAAAGTTGTTTTAACAATTCATTCTTCATCTGAGGACACTCTTGCAAATATGCTGATAGGTGCTTAATTCTGTTAATCAATGAAGACACCTTAATATCTAAGTTCCTAAAGAATTGAGATGACCTTAACTCTAGGTTAAATCCACCCAAATCTCCCATTGCATGGATTGCAGATAATCCACAATAAAAAGAGTGATGACAAAATTCAAAAGAAGGAAAATAAATGGTACTTAATGATGATGAGATTTAATTAATGGCATTGACAACAGTATTTACT